AAAACTGCCAATGCTGCCGACCTGATTAACACAAAGCCCATCAGAAAACAAGCCAAATTAAGTTCCTTTTCTGAGCCCTTTAAATGAGAGTCTTAAAACAGCTCTTCATAACGAGGGACAAGGCAGCATGCCTGCAAATGACAGAAACGGGGACTGAGCAATCGTGTGGACCCCATACTCATAAAGCAGCAAAGGTCATGGCAGATTTAATCACATATACATACAAAAAATGTATATTTTCCCCACCCACCATCATGATAGAGCCTTGCTTAGGGGGATGAATACCGAAGCAAATATGTAGTAAACTGACGTGACAAACTGTTCTTTTTCTTTTATTATCAATCCCAGAAATACAAAATCAGTTTAATTAATATAATTAAATATATTATAGCATATGAAAGATAGAAAGTTAAAAATCACAAAATTATGTCATTAGAGAAAAAGCATTTGTCAACAAGCAAAACTCTTTCATAGTAAAAATGCTCAGTAAACACTTAATAGAAGAGGATTTCACCCTGATAAAGAGAATATATGCCATTTCATTTTGCTGATTATTTCCTTTGTGTAGAAGCTTTTGAGTTTGATGTAGTCCCACTTTTGTATTTTGGGCTTTGCTACCTGTGATTTTCATGTGAAATCCAAAAAATATTGCCACGACCAATGTCCAAGAAGTTTTCCTTATGTTTTTTGAGGAGTTTTACAGTTCTAAGTCTGTGTTTAAGTCTTGCTTACAAATGGAATATTAGTTGGCCATAAAAAAGCAGCAAAGCTTGCCATTTGCAGCAACATGGATGGACCTGGAGATCATCATACTATGTGAAGCAAGTCAGACAAAGATAAACATCACTCGATATCACTCAAATGTGGAATCCCATTTAGAAGACGATACAAATGAACTTATTTACAAAACAGAAACAGACCCACAGATCCTGAAAACAAACCCATGGCTACCAAAGGGGAGACATTGGGGGGAGGGACAAATCAGGAGCCTGGGTTGAACATACCCCTTGGTTCTTTTTCAAAAATTAGCATAGGGCTTCCCTGGTGGCGCAGTGGTTGAGGGTCTGCCTGCCGATGCAGCGGACACGGGTTCGTGCCCCGGTCCGGGAAGATCCCACATGCCGCGGAGCGGCTGGGCCCGTGAGCCATGGCCGCTGAGCCTGCGCGTCCGGAGCCTGTGCTCCGCAACAGGAGAGGCCACAACAGTGAGAGGCCCGCGTACCGCAAAATAAATAAATAAATAAAATAAAATAAAATAAAAATTAGCATAGCTTTCAGCAAAACCTTTTCACTCCATATAAACTTTTTTTTTTTAAACATCTTTATTGGGGTATAATTGCTTTATCCATATAAACTTTTAACCTTGTGTTAAGTACTGAAATTTATGTACATCGAACATATCACATAGCATATCGAACATATTTGTATATTTAAAAATTATTATAAAGACAACTATCTAAACACCATCTAAATTACAAAATGTAACACACTAGTAACTGAGAAGACACATATGAGACCCTCCAGAATAACACTCCATCCTGCCATTTTATTAGTAACTACCCTCTAGATGTCTGTAGTAATCATTTTTATACATATCATATTGTTGTTGTTTATGGTTCCCTTATTTTAGGTAAAATTTACGCATGGTCAAATGTACAAATCCAAAGTTCAAAATTCAATGTATCTGGATAAATTCATACTCCGGTGTCAACTACGGTCCTATCAATAAGCAGATTACTTCCATCACCCCAGAAATTACTTTTGTGCTCATTCCTCATTCAGAATTATCCCCTAGTCCTTACCTCTCTTCCACTGTATATTTCACTAGATGTTAAGTTTATTTATTCTAGAACATCACATAAATGGAATTACAGACTAACACTTTTTTGTATTTGGCTTTTGCTCAGAATATTGTACATGAAATTCATACCCGTTTTGGACAAACTGTTCTTAAGAATGAATGAGATTGCTCACCATTTTATATGGCTACTGAAGAAAAATTATCTTACTCTCCAACTCACCTAGGTATTATTTCTTTAATCCTTGAAAAAAAAAAATCACAGTTATGTGGGAAATACCCACATGTATAATAACCTCCTTTTCTTTTTATACAGCCCTGCACTCTGAAAAGGTAAAAGTGGACTGCAATTTCTTCCCTGCTCACGATTTCCATGTAGTCGTTGCTGTAGATCTTTTTATAATCAAGAAGTAAAGAGATGTTCAATTATTTGCTGGAAATAATTCAGAGTCCTTGGCAGAACAAAGAATGAAGAGAACATTGCTGAATTACCAACTTAAGGCTTCTTCCAAACAGACCATGAAGGAAGACTTTACCCAGTTCTTTCCAGAAATGGAAGTTTGTACTTTCTGGGAGAAGATTCTGCCATCAGTGAGTTCGTGTTCCTGTGTTATAACCATGACTACCAAGAACCGCAAATTTGTAACGCCCATTGTTACCATTCTGGCCAAGCCAGGGGTTGACTGCACTGATTGACGGGGTGACAATTATCTCAGTGAGTTGCCATCATCCGCGGTTTTTAAAAAATTACAGCTGGCGGGGGGCGGGGTGGGGGAGTGATGAATTGGGAGATTGGGATTGACATATATACACTAATATGTATAAAATGGATGACTAATGAGAACCTGCTGTGTACAAAAATAAATAAAAGTCAAAAAGAAAAAAAATTACAGCGTGTCTAATATCTACCTGAAGAGAAGCATAAACCACTATTCCAATTCATTTGAGTTGCCTGGTACTTTTCCAGAAAATATTTTTCTAGCAATGAAGTACCCTAGATTGACCCTAACAATCACCTGATCCTCTGCCACAAAACCAGTAACACATGCAACATCAAACATGTCACAAGATGGGTCAATATAAAACCGAGAAAAGAGTATCTATGATTTAAAATAAAATTCTACATTTTTATTAACATTCTATCTGGATTAATAAATTTTATTCTATCAATGACAAGAATTCAATGATTTGCTAATTTTACAAACCAAGAAGCAAATGTTTTTCATCTAGTTTATCCTTAAGTGCCCCCTTGCACTGATTTCCTAAATGAACTCTTGTTTTGCCTGAATACACACTTTCTTAGGAACTACAATGCAATCCGAATACCAATAATGAGACATCTTTCCCCACCTTTTTTTTTTTTTAACAAGAACTTCAGATTTTCCTAGTTGCAAAAGGGGAGGGAGGGAATCTGGGAAAGAATTGTCTGTTCAAAATGTAAAGTCATATTTTTGACATTTAATCAGGTGCATCTGATGTTGAGATTATACAAGAGCTGCGTCAGTGATGGAAAATCCTACCCAGGAGCAGCAAACCTGTTCTTTTCCTCATAATACAGTTCTTACTCCTGTTCCATCTTTATAGTACCGTTATTTAGAAAGTACTAAAACTTATCATCATTCTCCATAATATTTTCACAACATTGTGACCTAGTTGTAGACCTTCTGCAGCTCAGTGAAACCACTTACTTCTGCAGAGAAGAAATGATTCCCGATTTAGCACAAACATACTCCAAAGGAACGACAAGGTGAGTTCTAAAGGATCTAAGGAACAGAGTGAGGTAAAGAGAGTGAAAGCGGGACTGGTCGGGAGAACAAAAACCAAAGAGCAGCCTTGGAAAAGTTAAAAAGTAAGATAACAGGTCTGTCTTAAGGCTACTTTTAGAAAACGTCACAATACAAAGTAGAGTTCTACTTCTGTTTATTGCAGGGCAGACTCCTGTCAGTTTAGTAATTCACCCCACACTTCTGAGTCACAGTATTACATGAAACCTGGATAGTCTACCATTACTCATTACCAAATAATTAGCAGAACTGGGTTTAACCCAAGGGGATTATAAAGAAATAATCCCTGGGAGGCGACGGGGAGAAGGCAGAATCCGAGAAACACAAGTTGATTCGCCTGTAAAGGTGGGGGGATGGTGTACTGCACGTCCTGGCAGGGAAATCACGAGGCCCAGGTTCCAGGACGACACCGGCAACCAGGAAGCGTGTGACCTTGTGGAAGCCAAGATGGACTGTTCTAAGAACTGACCTCATGGATAGAGGCGGGACGGCGCGCCGGATGCTCTCTGAGACCACTTGCCAGGGTCCAGATCCCAATGGATAACACCTGCCCCTCAGGTGTATACGTGCCTCGCTTAGCCACGGCTGGGACAACTTAGCCTGCTCCGTCCAATCTGGCACAGTTTCGGCGCCCTGGGGCGTGGGGCCGGCCTCCTCCCGCCCCCAGGACATCCTCCATCCGTGAACGTCCTGCCGGGTGAGCGGTGCGGGCGAAGTGGCGCTTAGGAGTTGAAGGGTGGCCTCGCACACGAAAAGTTGAAAAAAAAATGCTGAATCAGGGTGCCCCCATTTTGCCGGTTCACGGGCAATCGGATGCTCCCTTCCCTCAAACCTCCTCCCGCTCCGAAAAGAAACCGGATTGGCCTGTGCGCTCAGAGGTCACCTGCGAAGAGCAGAGCGCTGTCACTCGGCTAACCCTAAAACGGCCCCCACGACAGAAAACAGCCGAAAACACCACTGCATCATCCGAAGAGAGGCCCCTTCCGGAAGGTGACCTTTTAACGCGTTATCCTTCGGTTCCGCAGCCTCGGCCGGATGGGATGGGAGGGAGGGAGGTGAGCGCCCTGGGAACACCGGAGAGTTTCCACCAGCCACGGCCTCGCCGCGCGCTGGCCAGGACGGTACAGACTCCAAGCGGACGTTCCGGTGTAGGATGTCGCGAACTAAAAACCGCAGCCCGAGGGACCCCTGCAGCCGCCCAGGCCGAAGGGTTAGGGACCACGATCTAAGAGTTCCGGGCGGCCACCCCCGAGTCGCACTCTGAGGCCACCTCGCCGGCTTCCGGCGCCGCGGAGCCGGTCCCCAGTGATCAGAGCCGGAGGGGCCCGGGGATAGAAGGAGGAAGGCGGGGGTGTGGGGGGGGCGGATCAGGGAGCCGATCGGGGATCGGGGCCGGGGGCGCGGGGCGGGCCTCCTACCTGTGGTGGAGAGCACGGTGCTGGCGAAGAACAGCGCGGAGGTGAAGTCCCAGTTCCAGTTGCCCGAGGCGTTGCTGAGCACCGACACGCCATAGTTGCTGGCCTCCAGCACCCGGCCCAGGAACTGCTCGAGCTGCGGCTCGGACAGGCACTCGTGCTCCTCCAGGAAGCGCCGCTTCAGCTTGCGCAGCTCCTGGCGCAGCAGGTCCTCGTAGGGCAGCTCCACCGACGAGAAGACCACGGCGCCGAAGACCAGGTAGAGCAGGTAGCCGAGCACCAGGAAGCCGAAGCACCAGGCCGAGCGGTGCCGCTCCACCAGGCGCACGCACGAGCTGCCGGCCAGGGACTGCAGCATCTTCTCCGCCGCCCGGCCGCGAGGCCCGCGCCGCAGACCGGCCCGCCGCCCGCCCGCTCCGGAGAGCTTCTTCGCCTTTCTTTTCCTGTTTCCTTTTGCAAATAGAAAAAACCCAGATGATGTGGCGCTGACGTGGTGGCCGGTTCAGGTAGCCGGAGAGTCGCCCGACATCGCCGAGCAAACTTGCAGGCTGCGCGGGTAGCTGGGCGCGCGGCCGGGGAGCCCCCGCCCTTGACTCCTCCCCGCGGGCCGCCCGGACCCCGCCCCCCCCACCTCGCCTCGCGGCGCCTCCGGCTCCCCGCCCGGGTTCCCCGTCCCAGCCCGCCCGACCGCCCGGCAGGCGGAGTGGGAGGGAGTGTGTGCTTGCGTGCGTACTTGTGTGTGTGTGTGTGTGTGTGTGTGTGTGTACACACTTCTGTGCTGTTCGCTGCCGCTCCAAGACCCCTGTCCCAGCTACACCGTTTCCCACCTATTTCTTCTTAAAGCCACTATTACAACAAAGAGAGCGCTGGAATACTTTCCATCTTCTCTTACTGGGCGGAGCGGGTTGAGAAATCTGGTGCCAGTGATGTTGGTGAAAAGACCGGAATCTCAGGGCTGGAAGGCACCTGGAACCTGGAGAGGAAGGCAGAGTTTTGGAAAAGCCACATTTCTGAACCCTAATTCTTTAGAACGTGAAGAGTGAAGAAAGGTCCCAATATGTCAACTACCAGAAGCAACTGAGCTCTCCCGAGTGGCATTTCTTTTTAAGGGGTCGACCTTGCTGTGGGCCAGAGTCTAGTTGGTGCACCCTTTTTGCAAAGGCAATTTGAGGGTAGGTTTCAAGAGCCTTGAAAGTTTGTGCTCTGACACCATGATGTGTCCTAAGAAAAAATAATCAGGGAGACAAAGATTTATAGAGAAGGCTGTTCATAAACAATATATATCTATATTATATACAAAATAATGAAGAGTCAGGAACAATCTAACTATTCCAAAATAGAGGAATGGTTAAATAAATTATGATATCTGTAAAAAAGAATGAAATAATGCCATCTGCAGCAACGTGGATGGACCTAGAGATTATCATACTGAGTGAAGTCGGTCAGATAAAGAAAGACAAATACCAGATGATATTTTTATGTGGAATCTAAAATATGACACAAATGAACTCTTCTATGAAACAGATTCACAGACATAGAGAATAGACTTGTGTTTGCCAAGCGGGAGGGGGTGTGAGGGAGGTATGGATTCAGAGTTTGGGACTAGAAGATGCAAACTATTACACATAGGATGGATAAACAACAAGGTCCTACTGTATAGCACAGGGAACCATATTCAGAATCCTGTGATAAACCATAATGGAAAAGAATATGAAAAAGACTGTATATATGTATGACTGAATCCCTTTGCTGTACACCAGAAACTAACACAACATTGTAAATCAACTATATACTTCAATAAAATATTGTACATTAAATAAATAAATTATGGTGTCTCTACAGCATGGTTACCATATTAAAGGTGTGTTTAAAGACTACTGAAGCTAAACGATCTCATGTATAGAGTATATGTGGTCTTATGTATAGAATCTCAAATATGTAAAATATTTGCATTTTGTATTGTAAAACAGAACTATCTGCATAATAGATCTACTGCAAATCAAACCAGCCCCTAAGAGTTGTCTTTGGATGATAGTATATAGGTGACATTTATTTCTTTGACATTTTTATATTTTTCAAATTTTCTAAAGTGGACCTTTTTTTGGGGGGGGGGGGCAGTGCTGCGAAGCTTGTGGGATCTTAGCTCCCTGACCAGGGATTGAACCCATGACCTCAGCAGTGAAAGCGCAGAGTCCTAACCACTGGACTGCCAGGGAATTCCCTACAGTGGACCTATTTTGTAATCCAGAGAAATATTAAAAATAAACAAAACTGAATTCTTTAGTACAATTATTTAGTACAATTCCTATCTGCCTACTTTAAGAAATTCAAAAAAAACAAAAACAAACCCAACCGAATGAAAACCATTTTGTGTTCATTTATTTAGAAATTTTCATGGAAATCTTTAACATCCTCATCAGTGGATTTTTTTTACTTTCAGTCAATGAACTTACCTTCTGCTTTACTCGGAGGATTGAAGTCATCCATCTCCTTTACTTCACTTCAAAATCTCTTAATCAGTAATCTACTTCTTTCCTTTCCTGTTACCCTGAGGAAAACAGCTCCTGCTTATTTTCAAGGTGAAGTCTTTAAGCCACCACTCCCAGCCCTTCAGTCTCCAGGAATCTTGACCGCCCCCCCCCAGCCAGTCCCCTACTCTTTTATAACTTGAATACTGCTGTTCTGCTAGCTTTTTTCTCTCTGCTTCAAAAAATCACCTTGAGTCTACACCATCCTGTAACACGTTCTCTGCCCCGTGCTCTGTAACCCTTGCCCCTCCTACCGTATCCATCTTGATATTCACCAGTGCGACATGTCGGGGGACCTCCATGCTCCCGAGGTCACCTCCGCCTGTAGCACGCTCTCATTGTCCTTCCGCCTCTCGTGGTGCCTTTTCTCCCAGTGTCACTGTTTTTTCGGTTTTTGTTTGGCCTCAGTGTCTCTGCTCATGTGTTTCAGACAGTCCCTGCCCCAATCTCTGTCTGTGATGTACCGCATGTACCTGTGCTTCAGGGCCTGCTTAAATGCCATACCTCATTCGCAGCACCTCGATGCCCCGGGGGGATGTGATTTCTTCCTCCTCTCAAACCACTGAACCCTTTGAACACTGCATTTTGTGGCGTACGTGTGGTTAACAACTGCATACACCAGCGTGGTTTTATCATCGTGCACTCAAATACACATTTACATATATGGCAGCTTTAACACATGGTTGCAAATTCTTTGACCCTTTTCTCAACAAAAGGTAGGGTTTTGTGTTTCCTGCTCCCGAAACTCTGTGGGCTTGTGACTCTTTCAACCAACAGAGGTGACACTAGGTGATTTCAAGGTTGGGTCATAGAAGGCCAGCAGCTTCGGACATCACTCACTGGAACACCCCTCTCTTGGAGCCCCCAGCCATAACTTAAGATCTCTGATTACCTTGAGGTTCATCAAGGTAAACTGCCATGCTGGAGAGGCCGCGTGTAGGAGTTCCAGGTGACCGTTCCGGTGGAACCAGCCCCCCGCCCACCATCCCCACTGAGGCCCAGGACATGCCAGGTTCAACCCCCCAGATCCGGCCATCTACCTG